GCGAAGGTTCACCAAGTAATTCGACCACTAGGTTCAGGAATAGCTCAACAAGTGAATAAACCGGACGATCTAGTGGCGGCGTTAAGTCTGAGGTGCACTGTACATATGGCAGGAATACCAAACTCGGTCCACTGTGTCTAAATGTCTAGCTGTAGTCTTTTATAAGCAGTGATAGAGTGCAGGCGAGCTGGTAGTTAATCGACATCCTGTAGACCCTGAGATGGGGACTGATAAAAAAAACGGACAAACACAGCAGAATCTCAAACGCAGCTGAAATTTATTGATATGAACACACCAATAAATAGACTTTTAGACAAATGGAAAAGAGAAAGGAAAAAGAAAAAGAAGAACTCAAACGCATAAGCAAGACGATCAACGAATTCGCCCCAGACAGCATGAGCCACTCCCCAGCTCCAACACTTTTGGAAGGGATCCGACCACCCGAACAACTACAACCCCAAAGTCAACAGACAAGGCGACCTCCAAAGCGCTAAAGCCTAAGCTCCATTTCCTACTTCCAAGCACACGCATCCCTTCACCCTTCCCCCCAAGTTTACAAAGCCTCCCCCTCACACAAGCAAAAACTCTTTCATCCGATTACTGACGACTAAAGACGGCTGGCTCACACAATTCCCCGGCTCACGAATGCACAAAGTCTCCTTGATTAGCCTTCTAAACAATTCTTTTTCATTACACAGAACGCAAGTTTCATCCCAAAGAGGGGAACAAAAATCACACGAACCAACGTGATTTGCCAACTCACAACTCTGCACCTTATTCTTTACACTTCTTTTATGTTCCGCAAGACGTTCATTCAAACAACGCCCTGTCTGACCAACATAACACAATCTGCAGTGACCGTCTTGCGGAACATAAAAGGAGTGTAAAGAATAAGGCGCAGAGTTGTGAGTTGGCAAATCACGTTGGTTCGTGTGATTTTTGTTCCCCTCTTTGGGATGAAACTTCCGTTCTGTGTAACGAAAAAGAATTGTTTAGAAGGCTAATCAAGGAGACTTTGTGCATTCGTGAGCCGGGGAATTGTGTGAGCCAGCCGTCTTTAATCGTCAGTAATCGAATGAAAGAGTTTTTGCTTGTGTGAGGGGGGCTTTGTAAACTTGGGGGGGGGGGGGGGGGGGGAAGGGGGAAAGGAAATTGGGAAGCGTGTGCTTGGAAGTAGGAAATGGAGCTTAGGCTTTAGCAGTTTGGAGGTCGCCTTGTGTGTTGACCTTGGGGTTGTTGTTGTTCGGGTGGTCGAATCCCCTTCCAAAAGTGTTGGAGCCGGGGAGTGGCTCATGCTGTCTAAGGCAAACTCGTTGATCATCTTGTTTATGCGTTTGAGTTCTTTCTTTTTTCCCCTTTCTCTTTTCCATTTGTCTGAAAGTCTATTTATTGGTGTGCACATATCAATAAATTTCAGCTGTGTTTGAAATTTTGTTGCGTTCATCCGTTTTTTTATTATTCCCCATCTCAGGGTCTAAAAGATGTTAAAGTCTTTCATAGTTGGTTTTGTGCCATATTATAAGTACCCACTGACTGGGTTTTAACTGCAGGGAGAGAGCTGGAGACTTCCACGGTCACCTGGAAGACAATACAAGGCTTGCATGTGATGTTATCACATCATGCTGGTGAGGATTTATACTGCTTGCGGAGAAAAACCGACTCAATGAGTCAAAGCTGGAGAAGGCATAAGCTCAGTGGCAAGGCCGCCACAATGGCACCCTAAATGATGTCAGTGCTAGCTATGTGTAGCGTGTTCTTGAAAAGTGCCCCTGCGTCCTGCAGAAACTCTTGCCCTTTTGACATAACACTTTCAGCTGAAGAGATCTTGACACATTTCCAAGTGCTCTGAATTTTACGGCAGGATTATTACGAAGCTGCACCATAAATGTTTTTGCAACAACCACTGTTACATTCAAACTAAGGTGATAGCAAGAACTCTTGTTTGTTGTGTCTCAGCTCTCTGGAAATGTGAGGGAGTTCTCACTGTCTTCTAGAAAGCGCCTTTTGTCCTAAACATTTCTTTCTAGTGATTATTGCGATGATATCAGGAGACATTACCAGCATCAGATCAGCCGGCTTATTCGGTCTGGCACAGTTAAGATCTACAACTTGCAATTTCATTTTTTTTTTTTTGAAAAGCGTCTCTCCTTTTTGTGTCATGTGATGGTCACCAGAAAGCGTTTGCATCTGCAGGAAGCGGCCCATAAAGAGAGAAACAGTTCATAATGAAGTTACTATAAAAGGCGGCAACAACATTGCAAACGTCCAAGTCAAACAAACAATCGTCCCCCTCAAAGGGCAACCCCGATCACTTCCGAAGATTTCGGGTTAATAAGCGATTTTGCATTAAAAAGCCCTAGTAAAAGACACTACGTCATTCGCTTCGGGTAAAATGGGATATATATTTTAAAATCTAATTTTAAACATGATCAGAAATGAGAACCGGAACTTCAGCTTTGTTCGGCAACACTGACCTCGAGCCGCAAAGAACATGGCTATCACGTGGTACGAGACGTCACATGATCCTCTACGCAACAACGGGCGAGATTGGGGTGGGCGCGTACGAAGCTCAAATGTCGTCTGCGCCGCCCTCTTCACTATGTTTTGGTGTCCACAACATCAGACAACGTATGCACAACTGCGACATAAGTCTGCGCACATAGTGTCCGTAGTGTGGACGAAACTCCGAGAGACAATAATCACAAACGGTGAGACAACGACGGCAGTTGTGATGTGGGAGATGGCAGTAATGACAGGACCATGGCGGGGCGGCCGGACGGCTCCCAAGAAGCGCGTTACGCCAATCACGTAGACACCGCTGAGCACCGAGAGAAAATGTTGCTGACGTCAACCGTTACGCTTGCCCAGAGAAGGAAAAACAAGCAAAAGGGGACAATGGAGATGATGTTTAGCTCAATGTTGGCTTGGCCCACGCCATAGTCTCAACCATGCCATTGGTTACGCCTCAATTTGCCTACTCAAGTCAGCTGATTTCGGCAACTTGACGAGTTGCAAAGCTCGCCGGACTGTTTAAGAAACATTTAGACAGAACTAGGCCGTAATATTTGACATGTGGTCTTCCTAGGTGATACTAAAGAAAACTGCACTGTTTTCTGAAAGACAAAGATGCACAGGTATTGCCTTTTAAAAAGACTGGTCAGAAGACATTGTCCTTGACATTCAGAAGGCAGGCAAGGTTGCATACGGTCAGGAGGGGATGCGTGTTTGAGGCTCCCGACAAGAACCTTCCAGATTTTGCTTTAAGGGTAACACAAGACCGATATGATTATACTGGCATGGCATCTTAGCAACGGAAAATAATGTGTGACTATACTCATGTAGTCCAGACAGATGTCACGTGAAAACATCTACGACGTCTCGAGAGTTTGGGCATCCCAAAATTAAAGATTTGCCATTCAAGCTTGCGAGTGCTTTGTCCTCGCTGCGCCACCCTGCGGTGACACTTGTGCATATTTTCGTCTTTGCAGCGTGCCAACAAGCATCTGATTCTCGCCGTACTGCTCCGAGGCAGAAGCTCCGCCTTCTAGACACAGCCACACTCCCCCAGCGAGCGTTTGCTGTGTCTCAGTGGCAAAAGGATTTTAAGCGTAACTTTACCTGGGACACGAAGAAAGAAGACATAAAAAGGAAGGCACAGCCAAGTATTTTGCTCAACGAAAAATGATCTGCGAAGGCACTTGTTCGGGCTTGACTACTTTGTCTCTGCGATGTCCTCGAGTTTCATTCCCATCACGCTGCTCAGCGGGGGAGGCTCGAGAGATTTCAAAATTGCCTCGCCCATCTTAAGTAGTATTTACATGGGGGGATGCTTTGCGGGGAGGGATGTGCAGTGATCGGCGGGACCAGCGGGACTCCCTCCATGACTCGAGCATTCCCACAAACGGCACGGAGCCAACGGGATGTCAGTGTTATCACACGCCTTTAGTGGTCGCACTCCCGACGAAAGTAGAAAAATGCAGGTGGACGCGAAACGGCGACATGCGGTTATGGCAGCAGCGCTGGTAGATGCAGAAGACGAGAAACTACTTTCTGCTAAAAGAAAGATGATTCTCGCACGGGTGGATGCAACACAAAGGACGCGGAACCTAGAATTGTGTCAGGGGCAGCTTGAGGACGGAATTGATGAATACCGAGGACTCCTTGGGGTGCCTCGGACCAACGTTCTCAGATGCGCTAACGTTGCCTCGGACAATACGAGCAACATCGCAAGCCACGAATTAGGCAAACACAATTCCACTGCCGGCATCTCCTTGAGCGAAATCCGTAGAGTTGCCAGACATGCAAACAAAATACCGCCAATTGCAAAGAGATCCCACGCCAAGGCGGGGAAAGTTTCTGCAGCCCGAGCGAAAGCGCGACGCCGTTACCATGTGATGTGTATCCTGGGGAGCAAAGGGGGGATTTCTCCCTTGTGCGAGTACCCCTTTAAACACAGCCAAATGCTTTCACACATCTCATTAGCATCAAAATTTTGTTCAACACAAAAAAAAAAAGTTTTTAGAACATTTTTAAAATTCTTTTTGGATCATCGGATGTAGTTTGATCTGACAAATCGACTGACGATTGAATCGACAAAATCAGTTCACAAATGACGAAATTGCGGGCATGTGATAGAAATGTGAAACACTTGGACTTACTTCACCAGGGCCAGCTAAGAACACACTAATGAGACATATAAAATTGTATAGGTACCTATGCTCACAGGCAATGACAAAGCACTCCCCTTTCATATTTTCATCACATCGGCTCGTGTAATTACCTAAATATTTTCGGCTCGAAATTACCCGATGTAGATGAGCCAAAACAAAACAGAGAAGTGAAATAAGTCCTCGTATCGGAATAATGCCCCCCCCAATAGTCTAGACGGGCTGGCCATTGACTCCAGGTTCACATAAACATGTCATGAGCGAGAGCAGCAGACACACTTGTCTCCAATAGGATGATATGAAACAATCCAAGCAAATGATAAGGGAACTCACCTTGGTCCCAGAGTCATTGCCCAGCTTCTGCTTTTTGTCCGGCGGTTCCGAGTGCTTCGTCTTCTCCTTTGGACCCGACTTGGAGGCCTGGGAGTCGCTCTTGTGACTCCTGTGCTTCTTCTCACCATCCCTGCAGTTGGAGCTGGGAATTTCCACCCCAGCAGAGACCTTGTCCGCTCTGTCCGGCTTGCTGGCGGCCTTTGAGAAATCCGACTTAGAGTCGGACTTGGAGTCCGACTTGGAAGCTGCCTTAACGGGCGTGGATTTCAATGCCATCTTTTTGGCATCCGTCTGCTTGTCCGCCTGCCTGACCTCCTTGGCGGGAGAAGAAGGCGCGACGCAGTTCACCACCACCTCTGCCTGCGGCATTACACCGTTCAGTCGCACGTCGCCGTTCTTCAGGTTCAGGAGGGGCTTTGCGGAGTCCTCCACGGCAAGCAGGGCGTCCACCTTGGCACCGTGGGGCAGCGCCGATGCCAGGGGATCGACGGAGGGCACAGGTTGCTTCATTGTTTCTGTTGCTGCAGCAAAAAAGAAGACCTCTAGTTACTCTACACTTGCACCAATGGGCAACAGTGTTTCCTGTTCCATATCTATAGTAGTCACGAAGGAGCTTTGGTGAGATCTTGTCTCTGTTGAGTGTTTCCTAGGATTGAATAACTGTCCTAAAACTTTAAGTTTCTACAAGACAGTAGAAACAGACAGAGTGAGGGACTCCGATTCAACTCTATGTGGAGAGCAAGTCGTCTGCTTCTTGCGCAGGAGCTGCTGTGACGTCAGAACTACGCCGAGCTCCAGTTGGCTTTTATTGAAAGGTTAGTGGGTAGACCACAATGCTAGATGCCTTAAGGTCTACCCAGCATTTTTTTTTCAACCAATAAGAGTTTGGCGTTCTGACACTATTGCAACTCCTGCGCCAGAAGCAGACGAACTTGCGCTTTGCATAGGCCGATTTTTTGCCAAGAATGATTAAACTTAATTTCACTGTAAGTGTAAGCATAGCAGAAGCTACAAGAGCAGCCTATGGCCTGTCAGTGTCCCTGCCAAGCAGAAGAAATGGTGCAATTCAAGCATCATTGCAACATTCAAAATATAAAACCTGTTTGTGCTTGTAGCTTTTGCTTCACTCACAGATAAAGTAAAACCAACCATAGTTAAACTGTTATCAATATTTATTTTTTTTTTGGGGGGGGGGGGGGGGGGGGGGGGGCTGGGGTATGGAAACTTTTTTTTATACTGATTATGCTGACTACATATGGTTCCGGCACAGCATGCAACAGTAACTTCACATTAGCTTTGCTATGCGACTTCGACCACAGGCAACAAACTGCCACGGTTGGGACACACGATTGTTGATCTCCCTTCACAGAAAACCAAGTGGCAAGTGTCCCCTATCACCGCGTAATCATAAAAACCACCTAACTATTCTATCAGAATCACGTTTTTGCTTTTCCTTCCCATTAATACACAGATGTCCTCTAAGTCTTTAAATGGGCAGATACATAGGATAAATTCAATTATCGCTTTGCTGTGGTCACACCATAACACCAGGTAATGCACATTACCTGAACGCGGGAATACGAGGGCAAAGAGCAGACGCATCAAAAAAGCGCCCACAATGTTTTACACTTACGATATTTTGACGAACGATCACGAGGAAGTTCCTGTATCATTTTAGGCGCGTGTCCCGCGCCACTTTAGCCCGCTACGTTTTGAAGATGGGTACGACTGATCGCGAGATCCAACTCGTAATTTCAGCGAAGAAAAATATTTTGTTGTTGCTTTTCTTCATCGTTGCGTTGTTTATCTGCCTCCGTACTACGTGCGACCTGTCTAAAATACGGCGAGGGTTGTCGACCAGTCAATCAGGAAGAAGTCGACGAGTTTCCCCAGAGGAACAAAACTGCGCTTGCTAAAAATAACGTAAAACACATCGCGGCCTGATGGCTGGAGCTTCCGCGGCGTCATACTGAAGGAACCCCACTTCACCACGTCTGCTGATCGCTCTCCGGTAATGTGGGGCGCAGTACGGGAGCACACAAAGCACCGCACCCTACACACGAGCTGGCGACTCGGAAAACAAACATCCACAAGAAAGAAAATAAAAAGGGGAAATCGCAACGCGACCCGAGCGGACGCCACCACCAAAGCACAGGACCTCCTTACGGGTCCGCGTAAAAAAAATTCAATCTCTTATCCGTTATTCTTCGAGATCGAGCGTCGAGATGTAACAACGTGGTGAAAACGACGCAATTCGCGGAAACCACGTAACCGAGTCCGAACCAGTTATTTCTCACTTGTAGGGTTAGAAAGGTACACATCGAGGAGCGTGTAAAACGGAGAGAGAAAAAATAAAAGAAATAAAAAAACAGAAACTGGGCTCCGCTCTCGGACGGATCCTTTTGGGTTGTATGTTTTTATTTTCTCCTTCGAAGGGGGTTGTTCGTCGTTCGCCATTCCTGCCCGTAAAACGTGCGCGAGACGGGGGTAAACTCACCCTGCCTGCTTTCCATATCACAGTCGTCGACGGTTGGTGCGGCGGCGGTCTCAATCACATCGCCGTCCTCAGAAGGCGACGTTTCCGAGTCGAGGCTGGACCGAAACGCTCTGCTCGGCGGCGGCAGTCCGGGGAAATTGCGGCAGCTGTGTTGCTCACGCTTCTTCAGATGGCTCCCCTTGGTAGCGAGGGCGTCGCTGGCGTTGTCGGTGCGCGAGTTTCGTTTGACACAGGTCCCGTTTTTACAACGTTTTACGCGATCTTCGATGACATTGTTGACGCTCGAAGCCATTTTGCGTTTGCCTCTACGAAGTGTTCATGGTAGGAAAGAATAGGAACGGGTTTAGCTCGGACGCGTACCATTGGACGATCCTCACGTTTCTCGGGTCACGTGGTCTGTCTCGCCGCGTAGGCGGCCAATCGGTGCGGCCGTATCATGCCGAATGATTTTTCTTGAAAGTGGCTACGTCGGCCGTCGTAAACACGTCTGCGCACGCGCTGCAGGGTGCGTGTGTTTTTCGCGTTGTTTATCTCAGAGGGCGCTAGTTTTGATGTGAAATGCTGAGAAATGCTGTGGACGTTGTAGTTGTCAACTTTCTACCAAACTAGAACGTTTTGTGTTGTGTTTGAAGCACTCAGTTGTCAACGTTCGGCTTGTTGCTTCGATAGATTATGTAATGACTATTAATGACGTAGAAAATATATGATCAGCGCTCGTACAGAGCTGCCCGAGCTGTCGTCAGACATAAGGCGTACGGAGATTGGAAGAATCTGTCAATGTTCTTTCGGGGAAAACGAGTGGGTTTGTAGGGCAAAGTAAGGAACCGCTATTTGCATTTGCATAACGTGCGCTAAAAATGCATACCCGATAACATGGCTGAAAGCAAGTGAACGTATAAATTTCACCCTGGACCCCACACGTACACTATGCTATAAGTCCGACAGCACAGCAGCCGGAACACCTCACAAGCTAATATTTCATCAAATTAATATATCCGCTAAGAAAAGAAATCATGAAACAAGAATCCACGTACGAAATGCCCACAAAAAGAAGTCGTCCGCGTATCTGCGTTGTTTTTCGGGGACACTGGGGACACCGCGATCGGGAGTAAAGATGTCGTCATCGGGCTTCTCGAGCAGCCACCAATGAGGAGTCGCCTTTTATAAAAGCGCGATCCAATCACGAGCAAGTTAGAAATCGTCGGATTTGAGTCCGCGCATGCGCGCTGCGTCAGTCTTCTCGTCTCCAGCTTTTGTGCAGGAGGGCTGCGTGGAGCCCGTGTTCGTCTAGTTTTCCGAGTCTCGTGAGCGTAACTTGGGAAAATGTCTACCAGTGCACCGGCCCCGAAAAAGGCGAAGAAGGTGGAAGGATCCGCGGCATCGGGCGACGGCGACGAGAGCAGGGACTACGACGCCGAAACGCAGAAGGCGCTGGAGGAGATAGACGCCTGTCAGAACGAGATCGACGCACTCAACGAGAAGGCCAGCGAGGAAATCCTCAAGGTGGAACAGAAGTACAACAAGTTGAGGAAACCCTTCTTCGAGAAGAGGAATGATTTAATCAAAAAGATTCCCAACTTCTGGGTGACAGCGGTATCCTTTTTCGCCAAATCTGCTTTTGCATGCCGGTTTTGTTCGCTCGCTAAGCCTAATATGGTGTACTCGCCGTTTCCTGCGCGCAGCACATGCTTTGTTCTTCGCTCGTGTTCGTCTGAAATGCGCGCTTTTTGTTGCCGTCTCGGCCGGGAGAGTTTGTGCCGGTGCTTGCGCCCAGTTGTTGCGGATGTGAGGTGGCCATACGCCTCAACTCGTACGATGCGGACCGAGCGCCGTTCGAAAACGCATGCTGTCCCGTTCCCGCCAATGCGGTGTGGTAGTGGTTCCCAAGCCGGCCCGGCGTGTGAAGTCGCTCCAATTCACCGGTTTCTGATAGTAAAACTCGAATCTCGACGTGTTCCGCGGGCATAGCGTCGTCTCCGGCGAAGCTTTCACGTAGTGGTGGGCGTTGCGACTTGCTTTGGGCCTTCTTTTCCTCGCCGGAGCGTTTGTTTTGGAAGGCTAAGCCTAACGGCCTTCCGACGTCCATGTTTTCGGGCAGCAGCAACCGCACGCTTTGAAGCTGCTGCCTTGCTGGCACGGCCGCTCGCAGGTACGAGCGCCGAAGGGAGTTTTGTGCGCAATTACGCTAATCGGGTGTCCCGGGCGTCGACGAGAGCGCGTCGACGTAGAATGATGAGCTGCCGGCGGCTCTGGGTTCGTTTCGGGCTTTGTTGGGGGCCGAATCGTCCAAAAAATGCGTGATGTTGCCGTCAATCGCCGGCTCTTTCGGCAGGGGGTGTGAGACCGCGCCGGGAAGAGCAGCTCGGCTCTCCGTGCGGTACCTGACGATTACCCCCCTCATTCCTTGCCGCGATGTCTTTTTGTCTTTGGACTCCATTGCTCGTGCTTTCAAATAGCTGCTGTGAGGCCGACGTTGTCGTGCGGCGAACCAGTTATTCTTATGCATGCTAACGAGTTCTAATTTCCTCGCTTTCGCTAAGAGGCCGGTCATTCAGGCTCGCGGATTGGCCATCAGTGGTGCCTCTATCGCTGCGGTTAAGGTACACGAACTAAAGTTTTGTTTTTATGCGTTTCAGACTCCTAAAGCCCTACAGGTTCCACGGTAAACTGTTTAGCATGGCCAACATGGCTGCAAGCACCTGTGGCCGTAGGATAAGAATTTTACTATTACCTCTATGCTTGGGTGTTTTCCTGGGGATGAGATATTTTTTGCGAGTCATGATTCACGCTCATTTCGGCAAATCTGAGTAGCTAGGGGCACAAGAGGTACTTATCAGCACTGTGCTGTTGGCATACAAAGCTTACTAAGCTGTGGCAATTTTTCTTTGCCGTGTATGGCTGTTTTCTAATGCAGAAAACCTCCTTTTTTTATTTGTCAGTGGTGTTATGCCCATGAGGCTGTTACACACAAATTATGTAGCTCTTCTATATCATAAAAATAAAAGTGCACCATGCTGGTTGAAAAAAGTTAGTGAAGAATTTTATTTGGCAAAGTGTTCAAGTCTAGATAACTATATTCATATCTGGACTTACATTTTCTTCTTATTTGCAAATTTATTAATCAATCCTGAAGGTTGATTTACAGCTGGGCATGAGTTTTCCAACAATATCTTAGTAACAAGAGCTTGCACATCTGCAATTTCTAGCCGCCTCGGTGGCTCCGAGGCGAGAGCGTCGGCCTACGGATGTGGCGGGTTCGAATCCCGGCCGAGGTGCCCGCAATCTGACGGAGGTTTATTGCGCAGAAGACGCCGTGGTAACCAAGCTTTTGGTTGCACGTCAAAAGATCCCCAGGTGGTCCAAATTAATCCTCAGTCCTCCGCTGGGGCGTGTCAGATGCCCGTCATTTGGCACGTAAAACCCCCAAATTCGATCTGTAATTTCTAACGTTGCTATTTTGTTTTCGGGCTAAATGTAGCCATTTTTAAACTTCCAAGCTGTTCTAAAAGTGTACTGCTATGGTCTGTTCATCACTACATCGACAGGACTGTGGAAGGGACATGCTCGTTAGACCAGTCGAAGGTCTGCCTTGCAGAGAGCGGCGAGGCGAAGAAAGGCCGGTGACTGATAGGCCCGGCGAGCATGTCGCTGCCAGCTGAGTGGTGAACCTTGCACTGCTTCTCTGGTTGGCCCTTGACCCATGGGTGTCCAGTTTGTGAACCACCCCCAGATCTCGGCCATTCTGGACGAGGAGGAAGAGGAGAGCTTACACTTCCTCTCCAAGCTGGAGGTGGAGGAATTTGAGGACATCAAGTCTGGCTACAGGATCAAGTTCTACTTTGACGACAACCCTTACTTCGAGAATGACGTGCTCATCAAGGAGTTCCATCTCGGCTCCTCCGGTGAGTTCCCTGCACCGCTTTCCGCGACGGGGGTACCACGTGGCCTACTGCCGTTGTAGCTACATGCTGGTGGAAATGGCAGTTCTGATTACCTCTCCTTGAAGTGCGTCATCCGATCGAGCTTGTACAGCCTGCTTAGCGGACGCGAGATAGGCCCAGCACCGGGAGGTTAATGGCTGCTATGGCAACCGAGGTCCACGTGTTGCGGTAGAACACATTCGTTATGAAGTTAAAGGGGCACTGACACATCAAAATCTTATTATTATTATTTTTTTTTATTATTATCTGAAACAATTCAAAATGATGCCGGGACATTAGCCTCAAAATTCGAAAATTAGGAACTGTATTTGTGAAGTAAAAAAACACTTTCCAAATGCCGAATTTGAAGTTCTCGTGTGATCCGTGCAGGTGCGTTGACGTCAAATATTGCGGAGTCCTGAGTGTCCACTTTCTTTCACAACTCCACGCTGTTGCCATCGTGACCCAAAGCGAGGAGGAAAGGAGCGGACCGGTTTAGAGCGGTGTCGCCTGTTTTCCGTGGGAGGATACAAATCCAGGAGGCGGCACCACTACGGACTCTGATTTTTTGGTATTTCAAAAAGAAAGGCCGTAGTGCGTTCGCAATTGCGTTGAAAGATTTTCTTTTTGCGATGCCCGTTATTAAATGTTATAAAATAAAAAATGTCGCCTACAAAGCTTCTAAATTACATGACTTTTGACGACATGAATCAAAAGAAGCGAGGAAACGAAAAGTAGGAGAGGAGAACAACAAAAATAAAAAGGCGCGCGCGTAAAAAAATTTTTTTTTTTGTGATGTTTTTTTTTTTTGGTATCTGAGTACAACTAGCATCATTTTAGACAATAAAAAAAATATGACCCTTGGGGTGTCAGTGCCCCTTTAAATCCTAATGTCTGAAGTGCATTAAGGGTTAGTTTGAAGGTTGACCTGTATTGTTTCCCATGCGGGTGAAGTGAGCAATTTGTATGGTGCAGGGGACCCGGCCTCCCAGTCTACACCCATCAAGTGGAAGGAGGACATGGACCTGACAAAGCGGCACAAGCAGCGGCAGTCGCAGATGAAGAGCAGCCGCAAGAGGGCCCACGAGCAGCCCAGGACCTTCTTCAACTGGTTCACAGACCACGGGGACGCCTCCGCCGACGACATCGCCGAGGTGGGTGGGATTGGATTGCTCTGGTGGCTACTCCATTAGCACATGCCGCTCACATCTGACTGGGGCTCGGACGATAGTACCCTAGCAGACTAGGCTTGTGCATTACGGGTGGATGCTGACGGCTGTACAACAGGCAGTAGCTTGCACCACCTAACCTAGAAACCAAAACGAACCAAAACTGATTCCTTCTCTTGCCCTTCTGAGCCAATTTTTTTCCCCTCAGTCTTTTTGTAACTATCACCAGGCAGTGTGGGATATTGCCAGGATGACCTTTGGGGAATAGGGCAAGAAAACTACATACCCCTTCCCCTTCAGAAGCTAACAAATGCAGGTATCTCCATGTCTGAGCGCAAACCTTTATTCAGGCGAAAAAGAAATAAGCCCGTGGCAGACGACGCGTAGCCTATACAGTGCTCTGTGCCGACGGCGTATTGCGTCAAAATGGCGGTTGTCCCCCTTTGCTCCCTTATTCCTCTCTCGCTCCTTCGGTGCTCTCCTCCCTTTCCTTCACTCTTCTCTTCAGCGCCTTTGTCGCCACACCCACTGGCCAGACTCTCCCAATATACGGCTCTGGGTGACACCACCTACATTGGGAAGTAGAACAGGCAAAGGAAAATGGCAAAAGCCGAGGTGCAAGAACTTCTTAGCATAAACCAAAAAAATCAAGGAAAAGCTGCAGTAGCTCTGCAACAAAGAATTTTTGCAGTGCATTTAAAAAGTTGTCATAAATTTACTAGATAGAGTATTGGAAAGGCCTTTGAGAATAACTTTACATGGGCTTAAAAGTCACTGAAAGCTCGGTAAATTTTTTTTCTGTGAAGCCTGCACAACCCATGGTCTGTAAAGTGTGCAAGACACCTCTGGAGCTGTTGTAGGATTCCATCGTCACTTACTCAAACTAACAATAATTTTGTGTTTTGAATATGAATTTCTTGGGTTTTTGGCGTGAGATCGTTTAGTGAATCCCGGCCTCTGATTACCACGTAACGGCTGGTTGGAGTTTGTTTTTGTGTGTGTTTTCTGGCGTTTAGTTACATCCTCGGGGAAAACGAATCATACTTCATATTCTCAGGATAGAAATAGCCTTAAATTCATATCTAATGTTTCTTTTTTTTTCAAGAACCTTTTAACTTTGTTTTTAAGGAAGCATGTAATCTACCCTTGTTTCGTAAGCAGTAATGTGTCGAGATTTACCTTCAGGATAGTTGCGAGGATGGCGTGATTGATGCAGAGTGCCAGCTGACTTTCTTCGTCCTCTACTCCTTGCTGGAGAGGTTTGTGTTCTTGTTAATGGACTGGTGATAACCTGGATTGTGCCTTGGCTGACGGCTGTAGAAGCACTGGGACATTACAAATAGATTGTTTTTTTTTATTTAAATGTGTTCAAACTGGGTTACAGTTTTTTTTATTTAAATGTGTTCAAACTGGGTTACAGATTTTATGAGGTGCAACATTCATGTGCCCCATTCCTTGCATTCTTCTCCCTGTTGTGCTTTTACCACTGCAAAAGCTACGCCTGCCTTTCTCCATGTTTCACCACTCATATTCAGCCAATTTCGGTTTAAAAGACTGTTGCACTTCTGGTGTGCCTCCTTGCAACTGCACTCTGTGGCAGGGTGGTCTTGTGCCCTGGTCCAATTTTTGTGTTGCATACAAAAAAGGGTGTTGCGCAGTCTTCCCTCTTTTGCTGGCACTGGCTGTGGAATCAGTGTTGCATTCATAAAGACTGCTACATTTGTACCTCCATTCTTTTTCAACGGGTGTGTGCAGTCGGAACTGGTACTTACTTAGTAAACCCTGGAGTGAAGAAGGGATGGACAAGCAGTCTTCAAGCTTTTGAGTTTGTCCGTCCCCCTTTGCTCGAGCGTCTGCTACGCTAGTCTTCAACCAGCTCGCCCACATTCCTTCTTCGTTTTTATAAGGAACTGGGACTAATTTTTTGCATTCTGATGTAATAGTTTCTTCTTTTTTTTTTTGAGCTTAACATATTTGTTTAAACTAATTAATGAAAGCTACATTTATGTGGTTTGTAGAGATGAGTTATACGGCCAAGGGGATATATATATATATATGTGTGGGGGGGGGGCTAATCTTAAAGGGGCACTGACACATTAAAATTATATATTTTTTTTATTATCTGAAACGGTTGAAGACGATGCCTGGACATTACCCTCAAAATACGAAATTTAAGAATATAGTATTTGGGAATTAAAAAAAAAAAAAAACAATTTCCAAATGCCGATTTTGAAGTTCCCACGCGATCCGCGCCAGTGCATTGAGTCAAATTTTGCGGTCTCCTGCGACTTTACTTTCTTTCGGACCTCCGCTCCACGCTACAAAGCAAAGCGCCGTTGCCACTGCGACCCAAAGCGAGGAGGAGGTGAGCAGGCGGAATAGAAAGGCGCCGGCGCGGGGAAAAAAAAACTGTTTCTTCCCCGACTCGCCGATCATCCTCTGCTCGAGCGCCGCCAAGTTTTCCAAGGGAGGATTCAAATCCAGGAAGCGACATCATACCGAACTCTGATTTTTGGTATATTAAAAAGAGGGCCTTAGTGCGTTCGCAGTTGCGTTAAACAAACATTTTACGATTGCCGTTATTAAATGTTATAAAAATGTCTCCTACAAAGCTTCTAAATTTCCTGATTTTTGACGTCACCGATCGAAAGAAGCAAGGAGGCGCATGCGCACGCAGAGAAATTTTTTTTCGCGATGCGTTTTTTTTTTTTGCGTGTCTATGACTACACTTGCATAGTTTTAGACAATAAAAAAGAATATGACCTTTGGGGTGTCAGTGCCCCTTTAACAATCAGTAGGCTAATTAAGTAAAATTTGTTAATTTTTTAATTGTGGAAAATAGACATTGTTCCTAGTGTGCACTTTCTGAGTGTCATTGAAATCTAAGGAATCAATAATTTGTTAGAATTACTTTGAGCGTGTGGGAAGCGTACGAGCGTGCAAGGGTACCACGTGTGCACAGCTGGGGCTGTGAAAAGAAACGAAAAATCACACCAGTGTAGCTTTCACAGTGTCTGTTAAACAAATCTGTTCAGCAAAAAAAAAAAAAATCAATCTTTATATACAGGAGTTTGAAACCTTTTTATTAGTTTGGTTACATGCCTGATGAATCGGAAGCTTTTGTGGAGGAACATGTTTGCTGTCACATTGAACGGACAGTGTAATGCAGCCGAATTCCAGTGGATGATACGGATTCTGGGAAGGTTTCAGTTAATCTTCAGTCTGCTGCTGGAGTGTTTCAAGTGCCCTCATATTGGTCAGGGGCTAAGCCGTGGCCGTAAAGTCTCGCATCATGCAGACAGAAGCAACCGGGTGAACTAGTGTGAGGCAAATGTTGGTAGTAGTAGTGTCTCTACGATCCAGCACAGACTAAGCGAGCTGCACTGAGTAGGTGTCGTGGGTCGTCAACCCGTGCTCGCTTTCCCTCAGGTGATCAAGGACGACATGTGGCCCAACCCCCTGCAGTACTTCTTGGTGCCAGACATCGAGGTGGAAAATGGGCTCGAGGGGGATGAGGACGAAAGGTGAGGTCACATTTCGCAACGGGCAGGGAAAACGGAGACCTAGTCCGGACGTATCTTTGGGTTTTTTAATTTAATCAATCTTGCACTCCAAAGGAGCTGCTACAATGGGCCTTTTTGAACAAAAATAACAAACAACAAACACACCTTGTCGTAAAACTTTTGTCACCGTCTTCGGTGTTCTTAAAGGGATGGTGAACCAAAATTTGGATTTAAAAAAAAACAATGCTGGAGATGTAGGCGGGACGCTATCCCTACAACACTACTAGTAAGGCGATATCTCGAATGGACGGTCGTATTTTTAGAAAAAGAAGTCGAGATTAAACCAGGCCGACGAGGCGCGCGACGTCAAGATACCTAGTTTCCTCCTCGCTTTGCTTCGTTTCCTCAAGGCCGCGAGGCGGAGTAGACGCGAGGCCGTTCCCTCTCTTTCTCGGAGAAACATGATGTCAACATTCCTGCCAAATGTGCCTCTCTTTTTTTTTTTTTTTTTTTTTAAAATACGGTTATCCGTTTGAGATATCGCTGTGTGAGTGATGTTTTGGTGTTTGTAGCATCCCGTTACACGCTTTTGCCGCGTGTTTTGGGGAATCCAGATTTCGGTTCAGCATCCCTATAAAGCACAGCTGGTTGAATGTTTGAGGAAATCTGGACCGTCTCTGCAGGGGTTAGAAAGCAGAAGCGCATTTTTTTACTCGAACAGGCTAACGCATGAAGCTTGAGGGGACGTGCAGGTCGAAAAGTCCAAGTTTATTCGGGAAATCATTGATTTTTTGCTTTTGCTCGATTTATGTTCCTCAAACGTCCTAATTCTATGAGTAAAAAAAAATCAAACAATGTATGCCCCCAAAGTTGGGAAAATGTCTGACTCGCGTTGCTTGAAAAATTGCAAGTTTACACAAATATCTGCCACCTATTGCTCAGGGCAGCAGAAGGTTCTATGTATCTCAGATTAAATTTGCGATGGACAACACTAAAAAGCATGATTTTTGCATTTGGAATTCCCAATGCTAGTGCGGGTTTCAAGAAGGGCAGCGCAAACGCAGGCGGAGGGATGTTTACTGGCGGCCTGCAAAGCCTAACCACGGTAACGGCGACTATCCTTCCACAGTTGATGCTTTCTTCGCGTTTGTTGGCACTACGAAGAAGACCCAGAAAAGTCAAATTCTGTGCTGCTTGCTTCATTTCAATCAAATTTGCAGTGGAGTTTATTTGAGTGGCAACTCCATCCCTGCCAAATTTCATTGTCCCATGTCCAGTGATGTGGTTGCTGCGCCAAACTGCTGAATCTGCTACATCCTGCTACATTTTGCCGAAACGTGGGTAATCTGTGCCAAGCCTGTGCCAAAGGACCAATTTCGGTCGCGGTCCTTTATAACGAGTTTCTACTTTAGCAGGTTCTTTAATTGAGCTATTATTAGTGACCTTAGAACACATTGAAGTTAAATGCTCAATTTGTGGTCACCTACAAATAAAGCAAAAGTTCAGTTCAAATTTTCCTACACCTAAATTGAAAAATCTGCGGCAGTTTGATAAAACTCTTTTTGTGTAAGGCTCGTCAAATTACCGGGTGCTGGAGAAAAGCAGCCTTCTGCTTTACGTCCTTATTTCAATCATTTGTTGTTTGTGTTCCTCCAATTGAAGAGCATGTGGGAAGTGCCTCAGCACGCACCTCGTATCGCTGTGCTGCAGTGTTCTTCCGCAGGAAAAGGCCGTATTGCTGTAACGAATGTCGAATTACCTTTTCGCACGGTGCGTGTATCACTGGGGAGCGTGCCCACTTGCCTCTTCATCGGAATACTCGTGAACGGTGTCCAAGTACGTCTCGACTTTCGGTCTCTTCTGCGGAGGTCCGAAGAGGCAGTCGAATTCATGTGGGACATATAGGTAATGCTCGTCGTCGCTGCTACTTGAGCCGCCGCTGGTCGATGAGCTGCTCGAGCAGCTTGACGACCGACTATCCTCAAGCAGCAGCAGTGAGGCAAGCAGCACTTTGCGAGCGGCCATTACGAATTCTTCGGAGGCGAAACGCCCAGCGAGGAAGGGAGTCGCGTGCATGCGCCGAGGGCTGGCCAGACTTGCTTCCGGTCGAATCTGGCGAAAGCAGTGAAGCGCATTTTCTCAAATATTGAGATCTGGAATGGGGAGCTGATCCAGAACGACGAGTGGAACGCGTCCGTCTCGATTCCAGTCGCCCTGTGAAATAGGCACGATCCAGAAAGGTCAATCCCAGTGTGCTCCCAAATTACCAGTGGGATTTGCCGTTAGTTAAGGTGCCCCAGACGAATCGCTTTAAAGTGCTGAATGATCACCCTGGAGTGACGTCGGCCTTGAACCTTTTACAGCGATAGCTGTTATGGGCTCTTCCCATGACTGGGTTCCTCTCACTGATGTTGTAGTCGCTGACGTTGTAGTTGCAGTTGGCATTAAAGGGCATCCATTGTCGATGTTGCCAAATCCTTGAAAAAGGATGTCCACCACCCGCGGGATTTTGTTTTTCTTTCTAAATTTGAGTTACCAAAAAAAAAAATATATATATATATATATATATATATATATTGTTGACAGAATGTTGTAACACTGTCAATACCAAAAACTCGTCCCGGGAAACACTTTCACGCGCTCCAGAACAAAGTAGAAACAAAATGGTCCAATGTCTATTTTGTTTTTGTAGTATCCAATCACTACTGCACACGCTGTGGGAAAAATGTCTTTAACAAAATGGTGTACCACTGTCAATGCCAAGAGCTTGTGCTACGACAGGGGTGGCCAAGCTGCGGCTCTTCACGTGTTAAAGTGCGGCTTCGCGGGAAGTGCCCCCCCCCCCCCCTCCCGGTCACACGAGTAGTTCCCCCAAAAGAGAAATGGAACCCGTTTTAAATCGAAAGACAGGTTGAAATTTGGCAGTCTTGTGCTACTGCTACTTTACGCACAGTTGGACTGCGTTTGACTCGGATAGATTAAAAGTACTTCGAGTTTCGTTTACGGCTCTGGACAAGTTTGCCCCCCCCCCCTTCCCCTGCGGCGGCTCTTGGAAGTTTTGTGGTCTTGTTTTCGGCTCTTAGGCCTGGTTAGCCTGGCCACCCCTGTGCTATGAGATGCGCGCTCCGAAACAAAAGCGTTCAAAACAAAATTGTCATATGTCTATTTTTGTTCCAAACGCTTAGGATAACACACCCCACAATGCGTGAAGATGCCCATCAACTTCGCTGTGACTTGGATTATACATTAACGGAGCTGTTAAGGGCTAGGTTCCCCAGGATCGTGTCCATGTATGTCGACACAAACCTACCTGGACAGCTACCGCCATCTATAAGTAGGGTGTGTACTTTCCGGTGTTTATTTGTGAGAAAAATCGGCGGATGTTTTTCGGTGTTTATTTATTTTCGAAACACCGGTGTATTTCGGTGGAAAGTCTCACGACGAGGCTAAAATCGGTGATTATCGGTGGAAACAAATGCGATTGATCACAGACAGAGAGTTTCAATTTTATTTCCATATTTCATACAGTTCTCGAGGAAGCATACGTTTCTCACACTTGGTTATTATAGTAGATGCAAACATACTTCGAGAGGCTTGCATCCGTCATGGCAGTACGTTCCTTGCGGTTCACAACCCGCAATTTTGAAAACGCACGCTCCACATTTGCGCTGAACACAGGAAATCCCAAAATGTCCAGCGAGGCTTGGGACAGTAGTGGCCAGTCAGGTAAATGAAGTTTCCAAAATAACACTGGATCAACGGTGCTGGTCACAGCATACTGGCGGTAACAAAGAAACTCTGATTTGAGGTCACTCAGCTAGCTCTCGTCTCGGAGGACCAGCCGATAGATACTTTCATAAGGCACAAATCCCTCTGGCAGCTCCGCGTTTATGCACGGATTAACAACTGACACGCGGAACCAGAACGACGATTCATCCATGAAATCTGTAGTGTAGTCATCCTGAGCTTTCCGCTTGCTTCCCATCCCGGTGGCTTTCTACACCGCGTGACGACGAAGGGAAGCGCGTCCGTCCCGCAGACGCAGGACGGACGCGCCTTCTCAAACACGTCTGCAAATTTTTTTTTACATAACGGTCCTTTTATAACAGCGAAAAACCCTCCCGCCAACAAAGCCCTTTTTCCGTTTCCCCAAAAGCCCATGGAAACTAAACAGATAACAAGGAACGCATCTCAGTTCTGAAAGGTCAGTAGCCCTGTACTACACGGATGTTGGCAGTGTCTTCCAGGAACCACAGCAACCTCTGAATACATGGCTTGCACCGACATTACTTGGCCAGACAAAATGGGGAAAGGGCACGTGAGAGCGTACCCTCCACTGCGTTAATTTTTCCACAAAAGGGGGCCATGGGCGACACAATGGGGGAAAGGCGAGTGAGAGCTTAGCTTCCACTGCGTTAACTAGACCCTTTTGACCCCCAGAAAGGAGGGCGGAATGCAGGATCCACGAGATAACACGTTGGACGAACCTCTACGGGGAAAGGGTTTCGCTAGGTCGGAAAAGTGCAACGACCGGTGTTTTTCGGTTTTAACCAGGGCGAAAATATCCACCCACCGGTGTTTTTCGGTTTTAACCGATATTGTATTTTCGTCACCGACGGATGTTTATCGGTGTTTTTCGGTTAAAACCGGAAAATACACACCCTATCTATAAGCGACGGCAAGCACACAACCAGTATGGTTTCCGCCGTCGCTCGTAGGTGGCGGCAGCCTTTCCAGTTATCATAGAAGAATGGATAGTTGGGCGCGTCATCGTGGGAAACAGCGCGAAAAACAAATGGCGAAGAAGCACACAGTGTATCGAGTACAGCTCCGCTGGTCTTCCTTTTTCACGAGAGTGGAAAGACTGAAAGATTTTTTTGTTTTCGGCTTACGCACGAAGCTTCTTGATTGAGCCATTATTAGTGGCTTTACAACGCATTGAAGTTTAACGCTCAGTGTGTGGCTACCAAGAAATAAAACAATAATTCAGTTAAAATTCAAACCTGAATCTTAAAGGAAAATTCGAAATGTTTGATTTATTCGAACAATTTGTCAAAAAATGTACCTTCGGAATTTTCAGAAATCTTGACATTTCCTAATTATTGAATCGCGGCACGGTTCTAAAGTTGCAAACTTTTTTAATTCGAACCTTAGCGGGGTTCACAATTTCCTTAGCCTTTTGAACTCGGAACTTTGGGAGGTTCGGGGCATCTGTAGCTAGATCGGTTGTGGGTAGACATAAAGCTAGCTGCCTTTACCTCCACTGCACTCGTCCAACACCGGCGTTTGGCTCCGGTGACACATCGAGGAAGTTTGACAGATTTTTCTCGTCTTGCCACACATTTGGTCCTGTAAGCGAAAAATGGCCCGATAGCCAGACTTGGTGTTTTTGTTGGCTTCGGTTGCAACTGCACTCTGTGTCAGGGGGAATGTACCCTGGTCCAATTTTTATGTTGCATAAAGAAAAGTATGGCAGCCTTTCCTCTTGGACCATGGCATCGTGATCTGCGTGGTCCTCGTACAGGCTGCTACATTGCTTTTGTCCCCATCCTCCAGAGATTAAATTGAAATTGAAAATGTCAATTTCATTGAAAACTAGCTCAAAATATGTGGTCTAATGATAATGTGTACTTACCTTCTTGGCTGTTATGAATGCAGGTGTCCTGCAGCTTGTGTAAATGTGTAACCAAATGTACACACAGTCAGTTGCATACCTTCGTTTTTTTTAGTGATCTTTGTTCTCAATTTTCTGTTCATGTATATCCGAAATTGGAGTGACATCTGACGCTTGGCTGATAATTATGCTGTGGGGGCAGAATCGAGGGGTGCTCAAATTTGGTGAAGGGATGTTTAGGCAGTGGCTAACCTTTCCACCCTGAGATGCACTGGACCCCATGCAAATCGTGCGGCGGTGAAAATTATTTGTGAAATGGCATCATACGACCAGTTCTAGCAGACGATGGAGGCAAGCAACTTTGCCAGCATCTCCTTATCGCTCTCTCCACTGTCACATGGTACACATTGCATGAGCAAGGAGTGCAGAACCAAAGACCAATCTGGTTTCTGCATGTGCAACATACTTGTTAGATTTTAAAAAAATTTTCCATTGTAGAAGTTTAAGGTCTCGGCCTTAAAAACAACTCAGTTTCCCATTTTTAGCAAGTAATGGTGGGCATTCTGAGCTTCTCCTTCTCCCTGTCCGCATTTCTAACTTATTTCAACTGGAAGAATGTCCTTTCAGTGTGTCATCTGTCATTTGCAATGAATAGTAGCGTGAGCTGTGCTGAAGTATAATGCAAATAGTTCATGAGATCAACGCATCTGCTCTCGTGGCTCACATCCAGAAGGAATGAATTGGCACAGTGATGGAAGTGCTCCGCAAATTGCGCCAGGGACGCAATCCTGCTACATGTAGCGCCAAATTGTCATTTTACCGAAGAATTGCGCCATGCCTGCGCCGAGATGAGATGTAGCAATAAAAAATAAAAATTGAAGTCTTATCAGAGCGCGTGGCGGTACCGCAGTATTTTCCGCGCCGCAACTCTTACGCAAACTGAAACTGCGAGGGCGTATTATCATCATCATTGAAAGGAACAATGTTAGCAACATCTGAGACCAAAGCCGCAGAGGCTAAGTGAAGAACCGTCCCACTGAGCAGCCTATTAAAAAAAACAAAAAAAAAAAGTCCGAGCTTGTGGATGTTTTTAATGTTGGCCCGCCCTGTTCTTGTGCGCTAGCTACCAGCAAAGTCAAAGCTAGCGTGAGCCCAATGCTCTGTGCATTCCTGACTCGCACGTGGGCTCGTGCAGTTACGGGCTCTATGCGCGCGCTTGTAGCTTCGGCTGCGCTCGCACCGAAGCTGTAACGAAGTATAGTAAGTTGCACCAAACTCTGGGTGTAGTGCTGGTAAAGCCTCACAGTCCTTTTCGAAGCACAAAGCACTGCGCGACTGCGGTGTCTGCTCCGCGGGTGTCGCTTTTCTGCAGCGCGTCGGTGCATGCCAAGGAGCGCACTCGACGGGTTAACTCTCCGTGATCCGATCGTGACTTCGCCAGCACATCGAAAATGAATCGGAATTTTTGAGGCGAATATCAGATACCGCACTATTTGAAGCTGCTGCCCGAAAGACAACTCTAATCTGAACTAAAACATTCCACAACAGTGAGGGTCGTTAGATGCTGCTGCAGATACCTTAAAAGAAGTGGTGAACTTGCATGGTCTCTGAAGCCTAGGCCATAATGTTGTACTGTCAATCCATTTGCTGTCATATTCCATTCATAAATAAGAAAATACAAGAGCTATGTTGAAATGTAGATATCAAATGATTAAATGAAAGCCCGAAATACCAAAAAGACTTAAAGAAAACACACGATTTCTACATGGAACGTAAAAAAACATGAAAACAAAGCTCCGGTGGTGGCCGGTGCAGCACACAGCGCGGAGCGATGGCAAGAAACTGAAGGTCGGCTAGGTGGCAGGGTCACGTGACGTCAAGATGGCAGCGCCCATGAAATGTTGCCTGAAAGGGTCTATAGCTCCACGTCTATGGTAACATTTGAAGACATTTTTCTTTTTGTCATTTTGGGGCAACCTCAGAGTTAGTGCGCAAGGATTTCTGTTCTTAATTAATATTGTCTTATCACAGCCAAATTTGGCATGTATATACTTCAGAATATGAAGAATGCAACTATCTAGGTTTTGTTTAAATGTATTTGTATATATTTATAAATAATTTAAGAAACTTCTGTTAGCCCCTTGAAATGTCATTTTTGATAGTTTTCATTATTTTAAAATGAAAAAAGCATTGCGTACATTGTTTTTGCTCATTGCACTCAGTGGTTTAAGAGGAGCACATTCATTATATTACTAGGCTTTTTAAGTGTGTTGCCTCGCCTCGTGTGCACAAGAGCATGTTTTTTCTGCATTACATTTTGTCGAGAACTTAAAAAAACAAGCTATATCAAATCTAACACCAGATTTACAAAGAGGAGGTCAAGGACCACAAACTAAAAATTTCATTTCAATATCGTAAATAATAAAGAAAATTCCCCCAACGCATTTTCCCTTAACCAAAGGTTTCCATGGAGAAATTGAGTTTAACATGATTTTAATGTCTGGTTTGGGTTGCAACAGTAGAACAAAGTTATTACTTGCAGAAGGTACCCGTTTTGTTTATGTTGCAACAGTAGAGCAAAGTCATTGATTGCAAAGGGTACCAGTTTTCCGATTTTTGCGCAGGTTGAATCACATTCACAGCATAGTCCAGTCCGGACACATGGCAGCTATTGGGATTCCTTTCAAATTGGTCGTTCAGGGAATTTTGTGCACCTGAAGTCAGTAATTCAGTGTTTGTCAAGCTTGTTTAAAACCAGGAGATTAATTTCACTTCTGCCGAGTGGACCGGGCGATTTTGTGTTTGCAGCGTGGATTATCCCCCCAGTTACACTTGTCTTTGTCTGTGCAGTGACGAGGAGGAGGGTGGTGATGCAGTGGTGGTGGTGGAGGAGGAGGGAGAGGGCGACGAGGACGACGAAGACGACGAGGGAGAGGATGAGGGAGGTAGGTGTCATCCCATGCCTTCACAAGCCGCTTTTTTGTGCTCGGCTACGAAACACTCGACGGCGTGCATCCATTTTTGATTGCTGGGAACCTGTGTCAGGCCTCTCCGTTAGTTCTCCTGTGGTGACACAGTGAATATTGCCCACTGCATGGTTTGTGATGCCACGCTCCGTGTACTAAGTTGGCAGGGCAGTGGAGGCTGCGTGCATGCTGGACCAATCAGCCGTCCTCAGTTCCAAATGACTGGTCGAGCAAGCTTGTAGGTTTCGCAGTAACTATGCTAATTTTCCTCGTTAACCCCCTTTGGTATCTGTTTCCCAGCTTTAAAACATTGTATTGATGTGATATTGTGGCTTTTGTTGTTTCCTATTGTGTCACCTTGTATGGTTTCCAAATAGCTTCTTTCGTTTTCGCTATTGCATATACTGCCTGACTCCATCAGTTCTTCGGAGTTGAGTGACACCTCGTTTGTGCTGCAGGGCTGCTCTCATTTATCTGTTGGAAATCCTAATACTTTGCCGTGCGGGGAATACATTGTGCGCAGCTTGTCAAGTAATGCCTTTCCTGGTGTCCTTTTAATTTCTGTTGCGTAATTTACACTCACATTACCGATTCCACGCAGGCCAGGGAGAGCACTAGAAAGGCAATCTTTTGACTGAACACTAAATTTCCTTGGTTGAGATCATTAATACTGCAGGGGTGGAACGGCTGCGCCATTTGCGCCATTTTGCCCCAGACACATGTGTCTGCGCCATCCTGCACCATGTTGCTGAAACTGCGCAACAGCCAATACCTCGCGCCATTATGCGCCAGATCACAAAACGTGCGCCAAAATCTTTTTTATTTTGTCTTGGTTTCGGTTTTATTGACTCGATTGACAACAATGAGCGTGTTTAGCCTGGTCGGCTTTGCAATCCTGTGTATCCCGAGTCGGAAGCGCGCGAAAAAACTCTGATTCTAAGCGCTACACCACCTGCGACTGGATTGTTATTCTTCAACCATAAGCAGTTAAGCAAGTCGGCTGAGGTGAGGTCGAGTCTTTAAGCGTGAGATTGCCTGAGGTTCTGCGGCCCTGACGTCAGCTAGTTGAAAACAAATGAACAAAAGATTCCTTTTAGTACCTACTTTATCGTTAGAAGTTGGAACCGCATTCTCGCAAGATAAATAGTGATTCGATAGAACTGAAACGCGGTCCGATCCGAAACCTTGCCGGCCAGCAGCTCTTACGCGAGTGGTATATCTACTCGGCGTACATTAATCGTAGCCTGCTGCTTCCATATCGAGTTGCACAATAGGATATAAACTCGAAATTTGTTGCTCTGTTCTTCCGTGCAACCGCACGTCCGTTGCTTACGCACGTCACGTGGTTCGCACATATAATCGCTATGTCGAGCACGTGTGGGCTGCGTGATAAGCAGTGCTGGTTTGCATTTTGAGCAGCTGAGAGCCACTCAGAAAATATCAAGGACGCTATCTTTAGAAACATAGGATACTTGCTTTTTGATTCTCATTGAGGCTCGCAAAGTTTCAAGTTTTCTCATCGGTTACATTGTTATCCCATCTACCTAGGTCCCTAACCACCCATGTTCATCTGTGCTGCTAAGCACGATTGAAATTGCTCCCGACACAAGCTGAAGTGCAATGAAAACTGATCTGAGCTGCTCCTATAGCCTGCTCCAGAACGTAGTTTTAGCTGCTCCCAACCTGCTCCAAAACAGCTGTTTCAGCTGCTCCCGTGGCTGCTCCCAAGTACATTTCATGAGTTCCACCCCTGTACTGTAGAACCTCATTGATGCATCTTCCAGGCTGTCAAAACGTCGCACCATATAGCTCGAAGTATTAACAAGACTGGGAAGGCCCTCTTGCCAGCCTCCTTGCTCGCGGGGTTGTTTCTGCGTCAGTTTGAAGGTGTTCATTTGTGCTTTTTTGGTCTTTTATTCTTAACATCGCCATCGGATGAGAAGACCAAACGTTGAAGCTGTAAGCACTGTTGCGCACCGGACTGTTGCAACCCTCGTGTAACGACCCAGAGTGTGGGCTGTTAGTGAAAAAGAGCCAGGCAGATGATAATGATGCTGCGGCTGCATGCCTGCTCGTCGGCGCCGGTTTATTCTTATCATTATTTAGGCGCATCTGGTACACAGTTGCCAGACGTGCAGATCACTGTGGGGCACAAAGTGTTTGGATAGAAGACTGGACTGATGCTGAACCAGGTACACCAGCGTTGTCTGGAGGACTTGGAACTGGGTCGGACAGCAGAGTTGGTACGGCACCATTGTGATTTCGAGGCGGTGGAACACTTGGCCGAGATTCATTGGAGTCTTCATTTGTTGTCACTGGCAAGTCAGTAGGTCAGACCTTGGGCGAACTACGTCCCCTGGCCGCAGATTAGGTAGCGCTTCTGTGGTTGTGCGTGTTGCTTCGTGGCTCTGCTCTGTCCAAAAATAAAATTTGCCTCCTGCACAGCAAGTCTTCTTCATGGTACATTTTTGCACCTCCTCCTCAGCAAGCCCGTTTGATTGCGGAAACCGAGGACTCTTAAGTAACATGTTGTAAGTCATAATCATAAACTCTCTAGAGGTGAACTGAGGCCCATTGTCATTCAAAACTACAAGTGGTATACCGTGCCTGGCAAATATCGCCGACAGTCTTGAAGTGACAGCCAAAGCTGTAGTACTGTTCAATTCTTCAACTTCGGGGTAGTTTGAGTGTGCATCATAAACAAGATACATTTTGTCGGCATGTTGGCACAAGTCTGCTCCTGCCCTTTTCCACGAAGGCCCCTTAGGCAGTCTCATCAGCAGTGATTCTTCTGGTTGAGCATAAGAGTGAACCATACACGGCTCGCAACAATCAATTATATCGGTGCCGCCTCTCGATATTCCGGGCCAAAACATTATCAGATGAGCTTTTGATTTGTTTATACCCAAGTGACCAGCATGCAGCTTTTCTAGCATGTTTTAGGTATTGCCACTCCCTTGAACAATAGGCCCCCTATTACAGAGAGCTCTGAGGAATAAGGCTCGTACTGGCTTATGAGTGGTTGATTATTTATCGGAGCTTCCATTACCTTTGAAAGTGTTGGATCTCTTGAAGTCTCTTCAGCTTTGTGCTTCTTTTCCTTCGCCACACTGCAGCAGGCAGACTGCGTGAACATTGATGTCGTCGTTTTTGTCCGGCGCCACTTGGCTTTGGCTAGCGTGCCTGCTAGAACAAGAAGTTTGCCATAAACATAACTGAAATGGTATTCATACTTCACGAGTCGCAAAAAAAGGCATGTCGCCCAAACATTTTCTTGTTATCACAATCAAAGGTTGATGGTCAATTTTCACGAGTGCTTTGTGGCCGTAAATAAAATCGTGAAACTTTTCGCAGCCGTATACAGTTCCCAAAGTTCCTCGATCTGAGAATACCTGGTCTCAATCTGTTAAGCATCTTGAGCTATATTATTCATTTACGAAATACTGCAGATGGTTTTCCACCATCCAAGCGGGGAGAGGGTTACTTAAGGTTTCACACAGAGCAGTCCCTGCCGTGCCACTTATCGCCACTCGTGGCCGTGCTTTTGAAAAAGTGCCGCGCCGAGACTATACTTTGAGGCGTCTGTTAATACCTTCATCTCCTTGCTTTGGTTGTACACCGCATGAACCGGAGAATTGGTAGGGGCTGCCTCGATACCATCAAGCTCCTCGGTGTGCTCAGGCCCCCAAATGAAGTCTCGGTCAGGCTTCAGCAACTCGCGAAGCAGGGACGTCTTCTGGGGAAAATGTGGCAGGCACTTTCCCGGCCTGTACGTGGTTGTTAGTCGTCTCAGATCGTACATAGTTTTGTGCGGTTCCTCGAGATGTGTGTCTGTGAGGATGTGGCGTACTTGACCGTTGGCAATGTGGCGCGTCCAAAAGGAGGCGACTGTTCTCCTGCCCTGTCCGGAGAAAGCTAACCCGGTTTCCCTTTCTCTCCCTCCAGGGGACCTTGAAGGGGAGGGCGGAGACGGGGACGACTGAGCGGCGGGCTGCCCACCTCCACGTCCCATTGGGCATCCACCCCTCTTCATCCACCGGGCGCCAGTCATTCATCTCTTCACCCCGAGACAGGGCACACCCTCTCAGACACACACACAGACACGTGGCAGGCAGACAGACAGACACTTTGTGAAGAACACGGGTGACTTGTGCGAGACCATCCCATTCAAACCCCCCCACTTTTTTTTTTTGCGTGTTAATCTCCCTTTCTCCAGACCAGATCACCTTTCTTTCAATCTGCTTTTGTACCTGTTCCCTCTATTGTTTTTTTTTTTTTTTTAATATCATTGACACCATTAGTGGCAGAGCCAACTTGTCGTTTTGTTGAAAGTTGCTTTCTGTGCGTATCCGAGGATTTCAGTTTTTTTTAATATATATAATGATTAATGCTTGTGTATAGAAACTGGGGTGGCTGACGACCTGATGAGCGGCATTCTTTTGTCCCCGACCGCGGTGATCAGACACATCTCTGGTGATTTGCTGTTTTTGTTCATCTCGTTCAGCTTCCCTCCCCCCCCCCCCCTCCTCCTCATACTTAGCGAAATTTTCCTCTCTTTTCGACGACGAAAGATGTCTCCAACTGACCTGGTTTGAGTGCGCCTGGTGAATTTTGTGTACAGCGTCGGGAGGTTGCTTGTTTCATTAAAATGTTTATTATGCATTGCATGCATTCTTTCCAGCACCCCTCTGGTGCACTTTGATTTCTAAGCTCGTTTCCTACCACCGTCTTTTTGTACCCGTGCGAATTGAGTTCATTAAGCAGGAAAGTTTTTTTTTTCATCCTTTTTATTATTTGCCACGTAAACATTTTGCAACAAGATGAGTCTAGTTATACCACCTTGGGGTCATATGGCAGTTGGCATGCAGTTTTGTTTTGTTTTTTCATGTGTGTGAGAGGCATTGGTTCCCTTCGTCTGCGATTCTCTCCTGGAGCAAGTACCATTCAGTGCACCATCCACCCACCAGTGTGTTTTGTGACCTTGTGACGTTGCACTTTTGTTCCAGGTGCCAGCTTGAGGGTAGGATCTTTTTTTTTTATGTCACTTGTAAAGTTGTTTGAAAAGAAATGGCATTTTTTTCTTCTCACATGTGAATTTTTATATATTGGTGTAACGGTCATTAGTATAAAAATAAAAGTTCTCCATCCTCAAGTTCTGGATAGATTTCCATTGCTCAACCAATGGGCCTTTCTGGGAAGTCGCCTCTGGTCGGCCACAAAATTGCAGCGTAGGGCGCTGTGGGGTCAATCCGACGTATGCTCAGTCCTTGTGCGCTCCATACATCCTGAAAAAGCCTCTCTTGCTAGTGAGAGTGCAGAGCATGGAGAAAGCGGAGCAAACACTTCTCAAGTTGATACATGCCCCGTTTTGTTATTGTCTTGCTTTCTTTGCAATCTGAAATTGCAAAAACTGCTAAACCAACATGAGCCCCGTCGGATTGCTCGAGTTCGTCAAAAAGGTAATTGCAGGCGCTTCATGTTTGGAATGGTCTAGAGATAGTTAAGGGGAGACGCGGGTCTTAAAATGTTCAAAAAACGCGAAATTTCGCGTTTTTCAAAATTTACCTATTTGGATTAATTGTAGTCTAAGGTACCTGCCTGCAAAATTTCAATGTCGAATTCAATGTCTAAGCATGAAAAAAATGATATTTACGATGTCCCCGCAGAGCCCTGGCACAGCGAGTTCAATGAAAACAAGTGGAACTTCGCGCCCCGCGCGTTTCGCGATCGCTCGTCGGATCGCGGCCATCTTGGTCTTGTTGGAAAGCCGCTTATTTTCCCCACGTCCCCATGCCATTCGTTATCGCGACAACATCGGGGAAGGTCCGCATTCCGCGGGTTTCGAAGGCCCCAATTGCGATCGCTCATTGGCCGGCTAGCAAGGTGCCCGTACGTCAGAGCACGCGCGGCGCCTAGCGCCCCTGCTATTGGCCTAAACGCGCCCCTCCGCTCTTTTTCTCCTTTCCTCCTTTCCGTTCCCGCGCTGGCGAGAGGTGCGTCGTCTGCTCCTGGGCCCGTCTCCGCCCGTCTCCTTAGGCCTGTCTGCTTTGTTTCCTCCGTGGTCGAGCGCACGTTTTAGTTCCCGTTTGCGCGCTTGCGTTGAACATTGTTGGTTTGTTTTCCTACGAAGTCGCGCGTGTTTTGTTTTGTTTCGCTTCGAGTTCTCGAGATGCCGGACGACGCTCGGTTGAAATCGAGCACGCGGCAAGCGTTCGGAAGGAAGAGGAAGCGGCCGTGGAACAAAAAGCCGAAGCTGTCTGCTGCAAGTGCGCCACCGCGATCGGCACCGCCGGATGCCTTGGATCTTCCGGAAACATCAGCCGGAGACATCGCGACTCCATGCAGCAGCGGCAGTTTGTCGAGCTTTGCGAGCGCGGTTCGTGCCGACACCGCATACTACTCCACGGCCGAGCAGGCGCAACGAGTCGCACGATCGGACGAATGCAAGCGTGCGCTATCGGAAAAGTCGGCGACCCAGCGCAAATTCGACCTTCTCGGCGTCACCACAGGAGGCCAGACGCGCGACGCTGGGACACAGTTCATTGTAGTGGACATGAAAGCTCTCCAAGCATGGAGAAGGACAATCTGCGTTTGCGTAAGGCCAACGCTGCCCACCAGAGCAGCAGCAATGCAAAGCAGAGGTTCTCCAGGCAACACCAAACTGGAACAGCTGGGGACTACAGTCCTGGACGGCTGTGAGGGGCTCCCCTTTCAAGTGCTACACGAACAAAGGCCCTTTTCAGGGCCAAACAAAATCTGCTTTCGGAGCGTGCAACCCTTGGTGCCTCCTCCCGTTGTCCCTTATAGAGTCTACTCATACTTTTATAACTTGATTTTACATTGCAGACATTATTTCTCAGTTTTATATTATTTTTTAAAGGTTCTTGTGAACGGATTGCAGAATTTTTCATCTCAATTTGTTCCGATAGAACTATGCTTCATATTGCTGAACATTATTGCATGGGATCCCTTACTAAATTTTATGCAATGAGTGTCAAAACTTCAACTGCAATTTTCTCAGCTTCGCATTTTTCGTCTACATGCCTAGCCTTACGGTTGTTTTCATGAGATTATTCTTCAAGGATTTCTATAAACTTTATACCGTTGAATTCAGAAAGAAGTGAACTGCAGGGTGACGCTATTTTTGTATGACAGTATGGGCCCGAAATTTTATTATTAGTGATAATGTGACCTCGTTAGGCTTTGTAAATAGTGTACTTGACCTAATTAGACTAGTTTTATACAATGATCTATTTTTACAAAAATATAAATAGCATCATCTTGCATGACAGGTCTTTAGCTACAAATCCATATCACTTATGCAAAAAAATTTGTATTAGAAAGTTCCTTAATGAGTCGTAAGAAATGACCTAATTAGGTTTCATTATTTTCTTCGTAACTCAAAAAGTAATTGAGATATTGCAGAACTAATTGAATATTTGAAAAGAGGAAGCCGAAACACATATACACACTGATTTTCATTATAATCCATTAATAAACAAAAAAGTCGATTTTAGAACCAGTGTCTTGCCTTAAGCAGACTGACCCTGAAATTTACGAGGCTGACAAGTGTATTTGCAACTCCAGTCTCGCTCGCGGACGCAGGAGGAGCTGCGGTTTGTTGACTTCGGTGCTGCTGTTGCCGCAAGGTTCTGATCGGCTTGTTTGTGCATCATGCAGTTCTAATGAAAACAAGTCTAACGAAGTAGTTATTAATTTGTTCTGGTCCGCGACTCAAAAGTCGTGTTTTTAACGCACGTCAACATCTCCCTCACCTGTGATAATATGCTCCTGCCGTGACAACTTCGTATTTGTCACCAAATAAATTGTAGCACACTGACCAGCGTCGGCGAGCAGACGTACGGGGAATCCTACAGAGTATTCGTCTTTTTCGGCATCTTGCGACCCTGCCATTTATGGGGCGTTCGAGAGTTACGAATAACGAGACCGTTGTGGGGTCGGAAGTAAACCTGAATAATTGTCCGGTTGGCTTAGAGTGCCTTCATGTGAGTTGTGCCTAGGGTAGAGACATCTGGCCATTTTGTCCCACACTTGTTTTCCTTTTGTAGCGTGAGCTACACTGGCCGAGGTTGAGCAGTTTCGCGTGGCTCGCATAATGAGCCGTGCTGCGCGAGGAGCACTGACGTCACACGGCCCACAGCTGGCGCGCCGGAGACTCCGCTGCGCGCGCATTGCCGGTCTGCGCATGCGCGAGGAGCAGTGACGTTAAACGGCGCGCCTCGCCGGTGTGCACATTCCAGAGGAGTGATGTCATAGCCGCGGCAGACCAATACCGGCTGACGCACTGGCGCCGCCGCGTGCCCAGCTGTTCTCCGTTGCGCAGTAGCCAAGTCTGACGTTGCACCGGAGCCGCTTGATAGCGCCTCTCAGTTTGTGCGCATAAGTTCACGCTACGTCCTTCCCGGCATAGCCAAGCTAAGCTACCACGTTTCTTTTTCTTTTTTTTCAAGAAACCCATGAAAGCGTGTTCCCGCACGCGTTTGTGGCGCTAACGGCGCTATGGTGACATTTTGTTTTTGTCGATTTCTTTGTATTTTACCCGTGAGCACGTGCTGTCGGCATCGGGTACTACAAAGGGTGGCATCACTCTATACAGAAGGACATGGAGGCACCCTAGGTTGGCTACTCTCTTCTGGGGAGAAGGTATTGGGAAATTGAGCTTTGAGAAAAACGAGGATTAAAAGAATTTGGGAGGTTCGAACGCTACAAACCACTGATCTCAATGACAATTGCTGGATCGCGCATCCCCGCTTGTTCGCTGCAGCGCAAGTGAAGCCACCGGACTTCACTCGCTTGGGATACGATTTGCCGTTTTTGCTAGCCTTTGCTGCGGTTTTCCAGCGTGCTGTGGACACGTTTTCTACTCGTTCGTCGTCATTCGCCGAAGAAGTTTTTTGAAGACCGTGTATTGTTGAGACTTGCCGTTGTGAACACGTAGAAAATTTTACGAAAGTGCAGTGTCGCAGGAAAAAGGCACAACGCGTCGAAAGGAAGGGCTGGCGGCGTGTTCAAAGCTTCCTTGGCACGCCGAAGTGCCGTGTCTCTGTGCCTTCGCGCGCCCCTACCAAACGATAACCAAACGATAATTGAAAACTGGCTTGGCACGCCGAAGTGCCGTGTCTCTGTGCCTTCGCGCGCCCCTACCAAACGATACCCAAACGATAATTGAAAACTGGCGTCTTTGTGAATAGTTGTGATGGACCAAATCTGTCGAACTTTATGGCGAATTCCACTGGGCGTTTTGGAGCGCGCCGGGATCAGTTGACCAGATCCGGAATGGAGCACACGATCCGAACGGAGTTGCGCCGCCTGCAGATCCCAAGTGGAACATGACCACTGCTCCGGGTTCGGCGGATGGCTTCCCGTCATTCACCTGCCCGGGAATCCTCTTTCCGCGGTCGTTTCGAAGACGTTTTCGCAATCGCGGCGCTGACACGTGTTCGACGCACGAGCGGCAGGAATGGCTCAGGAGCTTCTAGCAAAGATTGCCAGAATGCCGGAAGCTGCTCGAGCAACTTGACGACGAACTGTCGCCAAGCAGCAGCAGCAGTAAGGCGGGCGGTACAGGCGGCACCTCCTGAGCGGCCATTACGAATTCTTCTAAGGCGAGATCAGGCCAGATGCTCCGCGAGAAAGGAAATCACGTGTGTGCACCGAGGGCTGGCTCGGCTGGTTTCCGGTTGAATCCGCCGAAATCGGCGGAGCGACTTCTGTCGAATCCAGATCAAGATCTGGAGCGGGAGCTAATCCAAAACGACCATGGAACACGTCCGTCTTGATCCCGATCGCCCAGTGAAATAGGATCGCTCCAGAAAAGTCGATCCCGGCGCGCTCCAAAACGACCCGCCATTAGATTCGGCCAGGGATGGGCAAAATACATGCAAATATGTATCGAAATACAAATACAAAATACTTGGTCAAAAATGTATTTAATTACAAATCTAATTACATTTCTGAAAAAGCATTTAAGTACAAGATACAAATACCACCAAATGTATTTGGTTTCCTCCAAATACTTTTCTAAATACATTCCTCAAAATTTACGTCAGCGACTTCGGGGCACCTGCAACGAGTTTCTGGGTATCTCATTTTAATTTTGCATCGCACAGTCGGGAGTTAGTGTGCAAGGCCCTAGTAACGTAATACGTAATAAAAATATAGTCACAAAAAAAAGAAAATGTAATCAGCTTGGACGTAATAGGTGGAAAAAGTACAGAGCTTCAAGCAGCGTTTTTTGTCGATTACATTTTGGTATAGACCAACAAAGAACCGAGACGACCAAGACGCGCAGCACTAGCTAGAGAATTTTTTATTGTTGCAACTCGCGCCAGTTACGAAAATCTGGACGAACCGCGCATTTAGAATGTTCCAGGCAAAAATATGGATTGAAATCAGGCTGGAAAGCATCACAAGTTGTCACAGGCACTTATTTAGCCAGTCTGCCTGTGATCGTCGATTTCGTCACTATTCTTGCCCTGGACTGGCACCGTAATCACAAAGTCACTAAACGCTTGTGCTTGATTGAGAGACACTGCATTCGGTGCAGAACGTAGTTTTCTTCCTGCTCTGGACAGTGACGATACATTTGAGGGATGTATTTTCGCCCACAAAATTGTATTTAATTACAATTGTATTTGAAATACCCACGTTTTAGTATTTAAATACACACGTCAAATACATTACCCAATTTGTAATTAAATACAAATGCAAAATACGCAAAGTATTTGAAATACGTATTTCAAATACTTGTATTTGAAATACTGCCCATCCCTGGATTCGGCAAATGTCTGCGCACGCGCGAGAACACGACGGGTTCATTTTATTTAATTTATTGATACTGCAATCCCTAAAAGGGATTTAGGAGGTGGATACATTTGATGAACAAGACAAGCGGGCGTACGAAATAGCAAACAACTCGCAGAATCAAAATAACAAATATTTTACTGAGGGACGAAACTAATTTAGGAGGGATTCAAATGGAGACGATGGCTGCATAACAACACTTTCACGAAGATTATGCCAATCGGTATTACGTGATCGAAAACGAGTTATTGTTGGAGCATGTTTCCGTCGAGTAGTGTAGCCTGATGGGAAATTTATTAGGCGAGACATGCATCCTATTATGTCCACTTATTATTTGATGAAACAATTTTAGTCGAGAATGTGCTGAATGTGCGGTACAGTGTAGTACCACCAGCGGAGTAGGCGACATGGTCACTGTGTTTGTCAGCCTTTGCGAGCGTGGTTCTCCAATATTTTTTGCCTCCAGAACGTTAGATCGTGCGCAAGTGAAGATATATGCGATACTTTCTGGATATCGTGATTTCCATTTGATCTTTCCAGTGATGCAACCTCGACTGACAAGTACTTCAATGTACTCACAATTATAGCAATCCTGTTTTCGACTCTCGAATAGTTTGTGCCCCCCCACCACCACCGCCAATTAATAATATTGGTTTTAATTTCGCGGTTTTCATCTATGCAGATAAACTAAACTATCGTGCTTGACGTTGCACATCCTAAACGTCCGCGTGTCCAAACATCGGAAACCAGCATTTTAAAAGTTAAAACGTTGCAAAAATGGGGCACACACTTCCATGCAAAGCCGGCGTCAAATGACTCAAATCGAAGAGCGTGCATACTTGCAATAATTTCTGTTCTAGAGCCCTAATCTGGACACTTGGCGAAAATGTCGGCGAGCAATCCGGTGGCTCTGATTGGCCGGCGCCAAGGTCAAGTGCGGAGTTGGCCAATCACGGCCTCTTGTTCCCCTTCTCCAGGGATTATTTTCGTGATTCTTGTCCAGCTCGCTTGCACCTTTGCATTTAAACGCATTATAAGCAATATTAAAATGCAATCCTTTCACCTGTGTTAGTGTTAGACTGGTGGCACCTGATAAAACCTGTTTACTGACAATATCTAACCCCTGCTTAACTCAGTTGGTAGAGTGTTCCACTGGAAATGGAGATGTCCCTGGTTCGATACCCGGGCCAGGCAGATTTTTTCGGTCGCGCACAAGTCGCCTGGCTTTGTTTGTAATTTGTTTGTCCTTCGTCCCCCCTGTTACCTTTCTCCAGGAATTATTTTCGTCATTCTTGTCCAGCTTGCTTGCACCTTTGCATTGCATTATAATCATAACCTTAAAATGCAAGCATTTCACCCGTGTTGCTGACTGGCGGCAGTGGATAAAACCTATTTGCTCTACTGACATCTAAAGGCCCGTTCACACTCTTGCGACCGAGTAAAACCGAGAGAGACCAGACCAATTTTTAAGCCTCTTGTGATCTCTTAGGACCACCTCCGCTGCAGCGCATCCGGCTCTAAGAAGTCGCAAAAGGCTTAAAAACCGGTCTGGTCTCTCTCGGTCTTACTCGGTCGGAAGAGTGTGAAGGGCATGTTGTGAATTGTAAATTGGAATCCTCCTCACGGGAAACAGCCGCACAGTGCTCGTGTAAATATGTGGTTAACGAGAGCGAGGAAGACGAAGGAACGGTTTGGCAAAAAGACAGATCGAAGAAGAAGATGTACGGAACGACTGCGATGACCAACACCCGTAGATTAACTTCGCCATGTAAATAGTAAATTCATTTTCTCGCTTACCGTAAGTCTTTGACGTTCAATTACTGCAACAACTGAATGGTGCCGAAACCCGGGACTTCAAGCCAGGAACGACCCTCAGCGAAACGAAGTCAGTTGCTGAGCAGCGAACGAGTGAACGTCATGGACTAACCTCGAACGAAATTTGGATCGACATCGGAACAAGTAAGCAACCCTATTACCCGAAGCCTACCAACCTCTCGATTTATTCAAACATGGAAAGGGTGCGAACGAAAAGGACTGCTCGCAGAGCACAAAATACCCGAATTGTCAGAGAGGCCACCGCAATTCTCAACGCTGCGGATGTAATTCAAATCGAGGCCATAGCAAGAGAGCTTGAGGTAAATTATGAAGAACTCAAGAAGCTGAACACCGAACTCGAGCCCTTCATTGCCGATGGAGATCTTGAGAACGAATACCAGTCGGTAATTGAGTACGAGGAAGAAACGACCCACACCTTGAGCATGCTTCAAAGTCGAGCAGTGCAACTACGTTCTGGTGAACCAGCGCGACCATCAACATCGGCAATTGCCTCACAAAGCGAAGAACGAAGACGGAGCGGTATTAAACTACCGAAGTTGCAGCTGCAATCCTTTAAGGGCGAGCTTGCTGAGTGGCAGCCATTTTGGCAACAATTCAAGCGTGCCATTCACGAAAACGGAGAGCTGTCAAGCGGCGAGAAGTTTCAATACTTAAGGACGCTGGTTAGTGGACCCGCCAAGGCATCTATCGATGGTCTCCAAGTGACGGATGCGTGCTACAACGACGCAATTGAAATCTTAACTAGACAGTTTGGAGACTACAGGCGAATCCAGCAAGACCACCTTACAAAGCTTCGAACGCTTCCGAGTGTCACCTACTCAAAGGACACCAAGGGTTTGAGGAGACTTTACGATCAGGTGCAAACCCACATCCGCGGTCTTCATGGACTTGGTGTCAGCTCAGACAGCTACTCGACCATGCTGATGGACATTGTTATCAAGGCTCTTCCATCTGAAATAGTGGTGGATTTCTACCGACGTGCTGGCCATTCTGAAAGGAAGACCGTCCATCCGTATGAGGGAGACGTGGCTGCACATCCATCTCCACCCACATTACAAGCAGAAGAGCTGGGGTCAATCTCACGTACTTCCAGAACTGCTGAGCTGTCCGCCAGACCAACACCTCGAACTGAGGACGTTCAACTGAACAGCAGAAGGGCGGAGGGAGATTTGCAGCAGTTGCTCGAATATCTGCTAATCGAGATCGAGAGTAGAGAAAGATCTGGTGTCAGAGATGATCGTCCACTAAGAAAAAATCGAGAGCAACTACATCAACGAGCTCATCTTCCGACTTCTGCGGTTCTTCATGCCAAAGCTCAAGATAACAAGAAGGAGTGCATTTTTTGCAAAACTACAGGACACAGCACGGAAAACTGCACCAGTAACATCTCTCTAATGGAGAAGAAGAAGAAACTCTCAGGAGAGATGCGGTGTTTCCGGTGCACCCTAAGAGGGCATAGGTCAAAGGACTGCCACAGGAAATTGTCTTGCACTTCCTGTGCGGGCCGACACGCAACATCCATGTGCGATCCGACCTGGAAGCCTTCAGCGAACACGAGTGCAACACAAACCATGACGACTAGCGTTCAAAGCGCTGGCACTGCTAGCACTGAGATTTCGATAGACGACGACGTTCTACTTCAGACCTTTCGAACCTGGGTGGTCGAGGATGGGAATACTGTCTACGCACGTGCCATCTTAGACGGTGGAAGTCAGCGAACGTTTATACGAGAAGACGTTTCTCGCAAGTTGAATCTTAAGGTGCTAGGAGAGACCAGACTACGCTTGAACACCTTTGGAAGTTCCACTTCACTGCCGCAAAAACGAAGGCTGGTTCAAGTGAAGCTGCGTAGTCAGTACAACAACGAAGAATGCAGCGTTGAAGCGGTAGAAATCCCATTTATATGCGAGGACATTGTTCAGATACCTGTAAACCATGAGTTTGTCCGCAGCATTGAAGAAGACGGAGGCTGCATCGCTGACAAACTTCTCTTTCCCGGCGTTCCTACTGAACCAGGCATCAGCCTGCTCATTGGGTCGGACCAAATCTGGAAAGTCGCCAGTGAGCGGGCGCAACGTTGTGAAAGCAACAGCAGCCTGATGGCTTTACACACTAAATTTGGGTGGACATTTCAAGGACCCGTAACGCTGCAGTGCTCGCTTACTGGTCGCGCCAACACGATGGTGTGTATACTAAAGATCGGAACCATCGAAGTCGTAGATGATGCGACCTTACGCAGCTTTTGGGATATCGAAAGCATAGGAATAACAGACAACGCGTGTAGCTCAGGTGAAGAACAAAACGAGGTGTGGAACGACTTCAAACGAACTATTGCAAAAGTGAATGGACGGTATGAGGTGTGCTTGCCATGGAAACCTAACGCAGGGGAGCTAAACGATAACCGAGCTACAGCTATGAAACGACTCAAGGGATTGCAGAAGAGGCTATCACGCAACGAGTCCCTTTCCAAAGAATATAGCAACGCTATGCTTAACTACCTTAATGATGGACATGCGGAGAAGGTTCCCTCAGAGTTACCATGCACAAACTCACGCACCTACTACATGCCTCACCAAGCAGTGATCCGCATGGACTCCGAAACTACAAAACTGCGAGTTGTGTTCGACGCGTCGTCCCATGCAAATGAAGCTACTTCACTGAACGATCACCTAGAGAAGGGGCCCAACATGAACGCGGATCTAGTCGAGGTTCTAATACGCTTTCGAACGTATCCTATTGCTCTCACAGCAGACATAGAAAAGGCCTTTCTTCAAGTGAGCGTGAGACCAGAGGATCGTGACGCACTCCGTTTTCTGTGGTTTGACACTAAGTATGAAACGTCAAACAGAGAGCCACCAACTGAAGAATGGAGAATGACACGCGTGCCATTTGGAACATCGGCAAGCCCATTCCTTCTATCGGCTACTCTGAAACATCATTTTCAAAGTGTGACAGGAGATATGAAGGATACTGCAAGACTTCTTCAAAAGTCATTCTATGTAGATGACTTGCTCTTGGGAACGAAAACAATCGAAGAGGCTGCGGATTTACATAAGCAAGCCAATGAGATTTTGAAATCTGCAGGCATGACACTGCGAAAATGGGCAACCAACGCAAGACATCTTCAGGATATGCTTAACGATGGTCATAACACGTCAACGTTTTCAGAACCCAGAGGAATTCTTGGACTGCGATGGAGGAGGGATAACGACACTTTGATGATTCCAGTCAAGAATGTACTCAACTTCATCAACAGCAACACCACAACGAAGCGTTGTGTACTACGTGCTGCAGCGAGGGTCTTCGACCCACTTGGACTTATTTCCCCGTTTGTAATAAGGGTGAAGGTTTTGTTTCAGCGATTGTGGGAACGCGGACTTAACTGGGACGAAGAGCTTCCCGAAGACCTCTCAGGAGACTGGCAACAATGGTGCAAAGAGGTTTCACAGATAGAAGATATTGCGACCAACCGGTGTGTCATGAGCGCACAAGAAGAGCACAAGACGTCTCTACAACTGCATGTCTTCTGTGATGCCAGTCCCCTCGCTTATGGAACATGTGCCTACCTGAGGGTGAAAGAAATGAATGGGAAGACAGATGTCAGTCTGGTATTCTCTAAGACTAGGGTAGCGCCTATAAAACGCTTGACACTTCCGCGCCTGGAGCTTATGGCGGCAGTGATTGGGAACCGAATAGGCAACTACCTGAAGAAGATGATGGACCTCCAGGAAATATTCTTCTGGACAGACAGTACTATTGCTCTTCACTGGATCAAGGGTTCAGCAGTGAAATGGAAACCTTTCGTGGCTAATAGGGTTACCGAAATTCAATCTGGAGGGGAACCGGCCAGTTGGAACCACTGCCCTGGACTTGACAACCCTGCGGACTTGATTACACGAGGAATATCAATAGACAAATTACGAACGAGTCAACTCTGGTGGAACGGCCCTAGGTGGCTCTCTGAAGATAGAGACACCTGGCCAGGTGTCATTACAAGCGAAAGTATTCCGACGGAAGTAGAAGAAGAGGAACGAAAAAGTAAACATCAAGTGCTTCAGGTACAAACCAAAGTAACGACACCTCTTTTGAAGCTGGAACGATACAGCAGAATAGGACGACTACTACGAGTCACTGCATGGATAATGAGGTTCGTTAATAACTGTAGAACGCCTCAAAATCGCACCAAAGGTCCTCTAATAACTGAAGAGATTGAAAGGGCAGAACTGCATTGGGTCAGGCGAACGCAAGAGGAGGCTTACCCCTAAGAGCTCAACGAACTGCTGGAGGGAGGGAGACTAACCGAGAAATCCAGCATCATCGCTCTCAACCCCTACCTCGACGCACACCGGCTCATGAAAGTTGGCGGACGGCTACAAAATATGAACGAAGCAGTGGAGATCAAGCACCCATTACTACTGCCACCTGAGCATCCTTTCACTGAACTGCTGATTAACGACATGCATAGGCGTACACTACATGGAGGACTTCAAGACACTGTGACACAGTTACGTGAACTTTATTGGGTGCCAAGGGCACGACAAACCGTCAAGAGGGTTATAAATCGATGCAACGCCTGTGCGAGGTCAAGAGTCAAAAGAGCATCAGCACCGACCGCACCACTTCCAAAAGACCGCGTAAATGAGGCGAGCCCATTCGAAGTAGTAGGAGTGGACTTTGCCGGACCTTTGTTAGTCAGATCCGGACACTCCGAGAAAAAAGCATATATAGCACTATTTACTTGTGCAGTTACTCGTGCTGTCCACCTGGAACTAGTTACAAGCCTCGCAACTCCAGCATTTCTCATGGCCTTCCAGAGATTTACAGCAAGGAGAGGGACACCTAGAGTAGTATACAGCGACAACGCCTTGACTTTCAAGAGAGCCTCAAAAGACGTCCGCGACTTATGGAACGTGCTGGAAGACAAAAGAGTGCAAGAACACTACACCGAACAACGAATACAGTGGAAGTTCATTGTTGACCGAGCTGCCTGGTGGGGGGGTTTTTGGGAACGCATGGTACGCACTGTCAAAACAAGCCTTCGGAAAGTTCTTGGAAGAAATTGCTGCAGTTTTGAAGAACTTACCACTATACTCCATGAGATTGAGGCAGTCGTTAACTCACGGCCCCTCTCATTCCTGCATGCCTCTCCCGACGAGCCCGAAGCGTTGACCCCGGCGCATTTTCTGACTGGAAAGCGACTGACAGCTCTTCCAACTGCGGGTGCTGAGAAACTACAAGCCACTACGAGAGAAAATGTCACCCGGCGTTGGAGAAGGCATCAACAACTGCTAGACCACTTTTGGCAGCGGTGGCGAAAAGAGTACTTGCTCCAGCTGCGATCAGCACACGAAACAACTTGTCGCCGAAACAGTCAAGTTCAAGAAGGAGACCTGGTTCTAGTTGAGGAGAACAAAACTCCCAGACACCTGTGGCGGACTGGACGAATTGGGCAGGTATTCTACGGCCGGGATGGTATAGTGCGATCATGCGCTGTGAACTTGCCAGGTGGACAAGTGTTGAAAAGACTCGTTCAACTTTTATATCCCCTAGAGCTTCATGTTGAATGAGCGATCTAAAAACGCTCATTTGGGGGCAGTGTGTTGTGAATTGTAAATTGGAATCCTCCTCACGGGAAACAGCCGCACAGTGCTCGTGTAAATATGTGGTTAACGAGAGCGAGGAAGACGAAGGAACGGTTTGGCAAAAAGACAGATCGAAGAAGAAGATGTACGGAACGACTGCGATGACCAACACCCGTAGATTAACTTCGCCATGTAAATAGTAAATTCATTTTCTCGCTTACCGTAAGTCTTTGACGTTCAATTACTGCAACAGGGCACTTAACCCCTAGTTAGCTCAGCGGGTAATGCGCTCCACTGGAAATGGAGACGTTCCGGGTTCGACACCCGGACTAGGCAGATTTTTTTCGGTCGCGTACCAGTCACCTAGCTGTCTTTGGGGGTTTGTGTTTACCCTTTGTCCCTCTTGTTCCCCTTCTCCAGGGATTATTTTCGTCGTTCTTGTCCAGCTCGCTGGCAGCTTTGCATTTAATTGCATTATAATCATAACCTTAAAATGCAGGCTTTCACCCTTGTTGGTGTTAGACTAGTGACAGCTGATAAAACTCGTTTGCTCTACTGACGTCTAATCCCTAGTTAGCTCAGTTGGTAATGCGCTCCACTGGAAATGGAGACGTTCCGGGTTCGACACCCGGACTAGGCAGATTTTTTCGGTCGCACGCCAGTCTCCTAGCTGTGTTTGGAGGTTTGTGTATGTCCTTTGTCCCTCTTGTTCCCCTTCTCCAGGGATTATTTTGGTCATTCTTGTTCAGCTCGCTGACACCTTTGCATTTAATTGCATTACAGGCACGTAGCCAGTATTTTGGTTCGGGGGGGGGGGGGGGGGGGGCCGCCCATGACAAAAATATGCTGTATGAGGGGGCGGATGGAGAGGAGGTCCCAGCAAAATGAAAGATTTCGGGGGGGGGGGGGGGGGGCGGGCACCATAGCCCCCCCCCCCCCCCCCCCTCCGCCCCCTGGCTGCATGCCTGTTGCATTATAATCATAACCTTAAAATGCAAGCCTTTCACCCGTGTTGGTGTTAGACTGGTGGCAGCTAATAAAACTCGTTTCCTCTACTGACATCTAACCCCTAGGAAGCTCAGTTGGTAGAGCGCTCTACTGGAAATGGAGAGATCCCGGGTTCGATACCCGGACCAGGCGGATTTTTTCATTTCATTTCATTTATTTACACCTTAAGGGCCCGTGAAGGGCATTACATAAGGGGGGGGGGGGGGGTATTCAAGTTTTATACAACAGAGAAACGCAAGAACAAGAAAAAACAGAAAAGGAAACTAAAACACACTTAACACACTCAACACACTCAGGTCTGCTCAAAGTTACACAACTCATAGCACTAGTAGCACGATAAATGAAGTTTAATACACGATAGAAAATTAATCGGATCCACAATGGTGACAATGGACGATGGGAGGTTGTTCCAGTCGCTGATGGCCTGAGGGAGGAATGATCGATTGAATGCGTTTGTAGAGCCTGAAATACGCTTGATTGTACATGTGTTGTTAAGGCGTGAAGATGTTCGGTCGGGGGGTGATAGCAACTCATTTTTAAGGACTGGAATGTGGTAGTAGATTTTATGAAGAAGGCAGAGCTGAGAGACTTTCCTGCGGAGCTGCAACGAGGACATAGTTAGTTGACTTTTCAAGGCGGAAACACTAAATGAGTGATCATAAGTAGACAGGATGAAACGAGCAGCCCTGTTTTGAACTGCTTCGAGGTTGTTAATTAGGTAAATTTGATGGGGATTCCAGATGGTAGCGGCGTATTCTAATTTAGGTCTGACGTACGTGTCGTACGCCAGTTTTCGAACCAGGGGAGGTGCGGATCGTAGGTTACGTCTTATTAGTCCAAGGGTCCTTGATGAGTCAGCAGTAATGGCTTCAATATGATTATTCCAGGAGAGGTCGGGTGTTAGTCTTACACCAAGATATTTATACAAAACATTCTCAATTAAGTCGGAGTCCAGGTAGTATTGGTAGGACAGTACAGATTTTTTCCTAGTGAAGCGAATTAGTTTGCATTTAGATTTATTTAACGACATCAACCAGTCATCGCACCATTTGTTAATTTTAGATAAGTCACTTTGAAGTTGGTCGTTATCTTGCACACATGTTACTTTGTTATAGACGACGCAGTCATCTGCAAATAGACGTATTTTAGAGGAAATATTGCTAGGGAGGTCATTTATATATATTAAGAATAACAGAGGCCCTAAAACAGACCCCTGCGGAACACCAGAAGTCACGTTTGTTAGGGATGATTCTTGGTCATTAATTGACGTTAGTTGCACGCGGGACGAAAGAAAGTCACGTATCCATGAAAATGTGAGTGCGTCAATGTGTAGAGATGACAACTTAGAGAGTAGGCGTTGATGAGGGACACGGTCGAAGGCTTTTGAGAAATCAAGAAAAACGGCGTCAGTCTGAGTATGACATTCAAGGTTAGTGTGTAGGTCATTAACAAAATCACAAAGCTGAGTCTCGCAGGAAAGTCCCTTTTGAAAACCAGTCACCAGTCACCTAGCCGTGTTTGGAGGTTTTTGTTTGTCCTTTGTCCTTCTTGTTCCACTTCCGCAAGGATTATTTTGGTTATTCTTGTCCAGCTCGCTGACACCTTTGCATTTAATTGCATTATAATCATAACCTTAAAATGCAAGCTTTTCACCCGTGTTGGTGTTAGACTGGTGGCAGCTAATAAAACTCTTTTCCTCTTCTGACATCTAACCCCTAGGTAGCTCAGTTGGTAGAGCGCTCGACGGGAAATGGAGAGGTCCCGGGTTCGATACCCGGACCAGGCGGATTTTTTCGGTCGCGTACCAGTCACCTACACTGTTAGCCAGTCCCGTGTATTTGGCGAATATTTGGGGTGAAAAACACGCTATTTACACAAATTACCATAAATTTACACGAAGAGTAACGGATAATCCGTTCAGAAATCATGCAAGGTTGTAAAAAACGTGTTTTGGTTCGGTCATACACGCGTAACCGTGTAGCCGACCTCGATAACACGCCTCGCCCCCCCGACGACGACCGCGGCATTGCCGGCTATCGAAGCACCAGAATGCTTGGGGACACACTTAGAAAGGACCGTCGAAACAAATGCCGCGGAAAGAAGCATGTCTCGGAGACAAATATGCACCAAAAGCAATTGCGTCATGTCGCAGGGCGTTGGCGAAACCCGCGCTTACCGTGCTCGCCGCCATCTTCTGGTCGATGGCAATGCGGCTTCCCTCATGCCGCCCATGTTTGTATTTAGTTTAGGGGTCCTGATAACAGTTTCTTAGACACCACAAATAAAGTCATCGGTCTAATTATTCGTTCCAAACAGTTAAAATGGATATAAAAAGCGTGTCCTCGATGTGAACACGTGACATTGCAGTTGGTTTCGTTTTTACTTCAACCTTCAACTGCAAGCGATCTGGCCACGGCGCAAGCGCAACGC